CTTCGCTTTGTTTCAGAACATTCTCGTCATGACGCGCAGATCGTCGCACTTGTTGTTTTTTCCTGCATGAGCACTCTTCCAGGCTAAAGTTGAGAACAATCTCAGTCACACGAGGCTAAAGTGAAGCATTTCTAAGCGTTCAATTACTTCACAATGAAATAAGAGTATTTCTTCTGTAGTTTTCCGCTCAATAAAGAATTTCATTTGAATTTTTGGGATTGTTAGTGATCCGGATTTGTACTTTGCAATCTGATTATGTTCTAGTGTAGTCCTGTATGAAATTATGCCCATTAATCGAGTTCCTGAGCTTGAAGTGCTAGAAAATGATTGCAAGATGCTTCACTGTAGTTGACCACGGTCACAAAGGAAGAACTTAGGAACTGTGACACATTTTTTTCATGATTCCAAGTTGAGTTAAGTGATTGTTCTGATAAAAACTAACACATGAGGAGGTTTATCTTTTAGCGCGTTATTTCAGTGAATTTACGCACTTGACATCTGATGAAAAAATGCTTCCTCAAATGATGTGTTGAGACAATGTCACACTAACTCTCTTTATTTCGAGAGTGATATAATTATTTGCATGGATGTTCAATTGATTGGAAGGAGCATTTGGAAACTAGGACATATGGATTTGCATATGAAATGCTGTTTGTTACAAAATTTTGGAAAAAAAACCGAAAATATTCGAACACGATTTCCACACGAATACGAGCTGCAATAACAACAGTTAAACCGTTCATTCCATAAGCAGTATGTACTTAATTCAATTATGTGAAATAATTGCGTTGACAGTTTGATGCGTAGTTTCACGAGATTTTCAAAAGATCTCGTATTGGTGAGATGTTATACCGACACTCAATATGTTTATGTGATTCTCCCCCCTTTTGTTAAGGAATATCAAATGCGTGATGATTAAATGAGCTTTCATATATCTTCATCTGGACACTGAGATTAACTCGCACGTGCTACTGCTATTTTATAATAAGCCTCCATATTTTATTGTATTATTGTTTTCTGTTCATCTTTAGTTTTGTTTTTATTCGGTGTGTTTGCTTTTTCCTTTAAATTTTCCTCGACAAGTCAGTGTTTTGTTGTTGTTGAGTCTTTGTCGGATAAAGCGTTATTATTCATTCTGGAATGATTGGTTACCATGGGGCTAATCGCAAATCGATGATAAATAGCGAGTAGATCCAAAGACAACTTCGTCATTAATTATTCACATTCATCACTCGAAACGCTTCAAGCAGAACAATTTTATTTATTCTTTGCAGAGTGCAACAAACTTTTTGGTAGCTCTGAGACTAGTCTGTGCATTTTAAAAGCTCTGGCTCATCTGGTTAAATACGATAAATGCAATGATGCTGTCCAGTTGCAATTTCAACTGTACTAATATATTTGCATTAATTACTTCGTTTAAAACTTAGTCACTATATGCAACACATTGTTCACGGTCTTCTGAACAGCTGTAATTGGAAGCTCATGCAGAAGTAATGGTGAACGAGGATTTCTTTAAATAGTTGCTAAACATTAGATTGAAACTAAAGCCTTGAATGAAAATTTTGACCAACAATTGTTCATGCATTAATGCGGTCACCATTGACTACCATTATCTTCCATTGTAGTGGATTTGTGGAATGTNTTGCATTCAGATGTAGCAGTTTTAGAGGGTAAATCAAGTAGATATGATTGAAACAGATTCATCTCATGATTCGAAGTCGATTGTACAAGTGGTCATTTCGTACATTACCACCGTTTATTTCCACACATGAACGTGCTCTTGCACTTCAGCACGTGTAAACGTGGCTTAGTAAAAATTGTAAACATAAACAGACTTCAAATGAAGTATATCATGCGATTTTATGCGTAAGCTATAGCTTCTTGACACGAGCATCAAATCCAAATCGTGACGCATAGCGTGTAGCTGGAGCACTTCCAGTTGGATGTTTATGTGGAAATAGTAAGTGCATCAAGCTTCGTAATTACGTGTATGCCACTGGATCGAGAGAAAATTTATTCATTGTTGATTAAATTAATCTATCAATTTGACTGACTGAATTAAAACCGATTCAGTGCGACCTCAAAAGACTGACTATAATTTTGCTTCTGTCTGTGTTAAGGGAACCATAAATTGTATTCGAGATCAAATGAATGCTCTCAGTACGTCAAACATAAAAATAGAATCGAGCGTCAACTGACAGAGTCGATATCGATAAGATAGCGGTCATTACAAATTCATGCTGAACGTGGCAATTGCTAAGGTACCAAAATATTTGATAGATGTCTTCGTTTGTAAGAAAATGATACATCCAAATAACTCTCACCGATTTATTTCACAACAGAATTTAGCACATTTAAAATATATCAAATTATATCATTTTGCAAATTGAATTTTTTTCGTGCTCACTTAAAACGTTCCACATCCATTTCTCGACACTTTGAATTGCTCCTAAATGCATTCGCCAGTATGCAATTTTCTTGCCGCTGCAAGTGTATTATGTGTTTTGGAGATTCGAATAGTTAAAAACGATGCTCAAAGACACTTTTATTATGCAAACACAAAAATATGGTAGCGTATAACTCGAAAAATTCAAAAGTATGAAAATTAAGGTAACTGAATGTTTAGATTCGAAGAAAAAAANAAAAAAAGATTACAAAGCAGCTGACAAGGTGGTGAAATTTTTACGATTTCATAAAGTATCCAAGTGATGTGGAATACGATTGATGAATCAGGCATATGCACACGGCGGGTATGCGATATGTAAACTGAATAAACTCATGAATGTATAATGAAACGTAAAAATAAGGAATGGAAGGCATGAAATCCTCGTTGACATTGTGGTAATCATTCAGTCCCTTTGATATTGCGGTATATTCCACTGCTTTCTAAATCTTCGTAATCTAAATGCTCGTAGGAAAAAGTAATTATTTAGTCATTTCTAGCGTTGATTGGAAACCTCCACATATTTTTATATCTCTCGTTTTTAAGCCTTCTATAAGATACCATTACGACTAAGAGGATGGACATCTCGCTGGAGAAAAACGATAACAGTTAATGATATTGAAGCAGATATTGTGTCAACGAAAAACTGACATCTTCTGCGGTCTATTGAAATCTAACTTGGAGAGAGTTTTTGCGATCTACATTGAATGAATGAAATCTCAAGAAACATCATCAGAATCGAAACATGTTATGCCATTGGAATACAACGACGAAACGTTCAGCCATATATTTCACGTTGCAATTGAATCTTACGATTCTCATGATCGGAAACCATCGCATAACCTATGAACTGAACAAAGGAGCGGGCGAGGGAGAGCCGGAGATGATTTATCACTTGGACATTGTCAATACATTTCACTTGCACACAATTGCAATCAATCAATGAAGTAGACTGCTGAATCATAAATGAATGATTTATTTTACGAGATCTGTTTTTTTTACTGAAAATTATCGCTGCAAATATAAAAATCCCATTTGAATATGAACATACATAAATCATTCACGAACGCAATCAATTCGGATATGAGTGGATGATCTGAGAATGCTAACTAGATGCTGCTGATGTTGAAGCAGCAGCAGCAGCATGTGATATGGATGATAAGCGCAACATCTGAAGTTGTCGTATTGCGGCCGTTGCGTTGAACGCCTTCTTCCAATTTCGTTTCGCAAGACTCTTCTTCAAATGCGGTGCCACCAAACAGTGAATATCTTTCGTTCGCGCTGTATTACCATTTATCCTTATAGGAGAAGAAGAGATTAACAGGAAGAAATGAATAGTTGACAATTGAAAACAAAATTGTTACTTGCTGGTCACTGCTAAGCTAATGAACACTTCCTTCGTCCCATTAACATTTCTTTGATGATTTTTTCTCATCTACCAGATATCCTCTTCATTTATCACCATGTAACACAAAAAGCATTAGTTATTTNAGTTTCCACTAAAAACGCTCATTCCCTCGAGTGTTATGGCAGAAATCCGAATTGTTCATACAACTCACAGAGCTTTTAGTGACACTTAAGTCCTCAGTTAAATGACTGGAAAGTGAATGAATCAAATGTGTAAGTTTCTAGGAATTATTGCAGAGTTATCACAGAAAACTGAAACGCTAAAACATGGTTGATGTGATCGGCTGTCGAGTCATGCGAATGAAGTAACATGAGCATAAAATAAGCAAATACCAGGGATGTGTGAGTGCTTGTTCACACGTGTATCGCATATTCGGATCACAGCACATCAAATGCGATATGAAATCTTTCGCTGAGTCGGATATTTCGTCCCAATACGGCGAATCGAATTCGTATTCACCGCGAATGATTTGTGCAAATAAATTCGCATCATTCTCATCATAGAACGGTGGATAACCGCACAATAAGATGTACGTTATAACACCAATCGACCAAACGTCGACCGCCTTACCGTATGGCTTCTGTTGCAGTACCTGAAATGGTAGCATCTCATTGGAATGAATATCCCAATATTTATGCACCCAAATCACATCACCTTGGAAAGCCGTGGTGAATTTGGATACTTCGCTCGCTACCTTCCTCTACAACTTCAGGAACGCACTACAGATCACACATAGATTATAGACTCATCAAAGTCCCTTTAAGTCGTTTATATCAATGCGGAAAGTTCTACAATTACAATGTGGTTCAGCAGGAAGAAATCAAAATGACTTCCGATATCACGAACAGTAAACGCATGATTACGGCAGGATAATGAGAATGCATGATTACTGCGCGATAAAAAATGCATGAAATCATTCTGAGAATGATACCACTTCCAGCTATGTGATCTCGTGCAAGTGAATGCAAGCCGTCATTACTTCTCGAAGGAAATAATATTTTATTTGAAAACTCGTTCAACTGAGTTGGTTCGTCATTTTCACCGATTCACACATGTGATAATTTCAATCATTAAATTGCATATGGAAATTCTTTTTGCTTGAATGTGAACTCTGGATTGTGAATCGCCGATCGATGGTTTATATTGCACTGCAACACTACTTCATACAAGGTAACTGGTCACTATGATTCTGAGGCTGTCTNAAAAAATACATTAACTCAGCGATCTGTTTGATCGAACGACTCTATTGCTTCGTCACATTACTGTTGCATTTTTCAATAAGCCATTTTAAGAAGCACATAAAACGAATATTGCCTTCGCTTTGTCATTCATTTCCGCAGTAATGAGAAATGAGTGCCTCTCATCTGTCATTAACTGTTTGACAGTAGTGATCATCGGAAACAATATATCACGTCTTAACACCGAATCACACAATTATATGCTTATGTACTTTGAAATGCTTGGATGTTATTGTGTTCGTCGAGTTATTCATCCATGTGATTTTGATGGATTAGGGTATTGCAATAGAATGCAATACATTTATAATTTGTTGCATGGTAAAAAATGCTGTATGCTCGCAGAATTGCTAAAAATGAACATCATCATGTATCTATGATAGTGGTTCTCATAGGGGTGAAATTACCCATTTTGGGTAATTTGGACATGTTAAAAGGTAATAGAGGAGGTCGGAAAGTAGAACTTCGTGTTGTTGTTATGTTATGATAGAACGCCACTATGATGGTGTTTTTTTCATGTGGGTCTGAAAATGCGGTTAGTTGATGGCAACATTCTTCATTCATCTATGAATATCATTAGCTCGTCCGGGTCTAATAGGGTTTTCATTCTTTTCCTTGTTGTTACAATCGCTCTCA